AATTTTCGGATGGAACTCTAGTTTTCCTTTATTATTATGATTCACTTTAAACTGACTGAACAAGAAGGAAAAATGGTTAAGATAATGATACAATTGAGATGAGTAGTTTTGTGAAATATAGTAAAATCATGCTTGGGACTATAGTATTTTGAAGTTAGCTCTTACAAACTGGAATACTAACCTAACTTATAAATCGTTTAACATCATTGAATCCTTCTATTTTAAATTTCAGTCAAAATCTTGCAATATGAATAATTGGTTAAAAAAGTAGAGTGAATAACACCATAAGCAGCCGTAGATTTGCGATTTATTTACCGATTCATATTATAAAAAGAAAATTGGTTCTGCAAAAAGGAAAATCGTTCCAAAGAAGTTATTATTGTATATTGTCGTAGCTATTTTATATTATCTTTGATGAAAGTGTGTTGATTTTAGCTGTTATGGAGTATCTGCTGGATTCCCGTGTGTTTAATTATCTCCCATTTACGATATGCCCAAATACGAGGAAGAATATCATATCAATAGTGATGAAAATCGTTACAGTTAACATTTATTCCTTCTATTTCGTCACATTTGTGCTACATTTTAATTATGCAAGACTACTGTTTTTTGAAGTTTTCGTTTTAAAAACACTTCTTAAGCAATCTGGCATTGCTTTTCGTTAAGATCTGTAGCTATAACAAGACTTGGCTTTTAATATAGAAAATTTAATTCTCTTACATTGTTTTCGTAGGTGATTTGCTGACTATGAAATGTCCATGAAAGATAGTTTCTGTGTATCTTCTAGTTTACATAAATATAGGTATGGGTTCAACTCGTATCATATTCCATATGTGGGTGTTTGTAGTTAATATGAAACTTCGATTAGATTTATTTAACATAAATATTTTCACTTTCGTTTTTTCTTGCATTTTGAAGACTCGAAAATTTTAGAATATGTACTTACCTTAAACCTTTGGCTTTTCATAATTTCCAAGATCTTCACAGGTGGCGGATTGGTTATGTAAAACTCGGGAACTACAGCCGTTGATAGAAAATCACCCAACGTTGGTTGTATCAGAATTCGTCTATACAGTGCTTTGGTTATTGTCATTCTTCTGTGGTAATATTTTATTGTATAATTCCTTTATTGTATAATTCCTTCTGGGAACTATGTTTCAAAACATCAGGACTTTTTTTTAAACAGTTTCATGGATATTAGTTTTTTTCTTAGTTTAACGGTTCGGTCGTTTCTTAGGTTCGGCCACTTCTTAGTTACATTTCCACTCCATACTATTCTAGCGTGATGGACAAGTTTCAAAATTTTAAGCTCTACGTTATGGTTCACGTTATGTGTACACATGGGTTGGTGTTTATTTATTGGCCGTCTTTACTGAAAGTATAAAGTTTGCCGATGAAAGTATGAACGTTATGTTCTACAGTCAAACAATGTTAACAGTTATGGGGATGCGCACTCCGCTTTATTTATTATGTGGTATCTACCACACATTGTTTTACACTTCATATATTATAGTGAAAAGGTAATTCATATTTCTTTCGCTAATTCATTTCAATTTCCACTTTCGAATTAATATATTGCTTCTTATGTTAAAGGCGGAGTTTGATTACATTGTAATACATGCTGTTTTTTTGTGTTTAATATGCAAGCTTTTGCAGAATTCGTTTGAAGTGGTGGGGCGAAGCTGCAGCAAACGGTATTCTGGTATTCTTGTTGTCGTTGCCCTTACAAATGATGGGTACAAAGTTGCTTTGGTGGCAGTGGTATAATGGTGACCCACGTCTCATAAACACGTATGCACATAAATATGAATGAATATGTGTATATTCCAAATAGCTATCTCCACTTTTCCATTATATTATCAGAAGCATTTTAAGTAGCATTAACAAACCATTGGTCTTTGAGAGAATTGTTCAGATATACATTGCTTGTCACTATTTACTTTTCTAGGTTTTATTCTGTCCCACTAGTTGTGTTGGCATGGTATGCAATACTAGGGACATCATTCAATGCTAGTTTATACTTATTTCGGAAAGGACTTCTTCGGAAAGAATATGACTGGAAAAGGTTCTAGATCTTTCTTTATTTTTAAATGCTTTTTATCGGTAGTGCTGTTTATCTTTTGGCCGTTCGGAAATTTTAATTTTTTCTCTATATAGCTAATCCGTTTCAGTTCTTGTATATGGTAATAATTTAATGATTTTACACTCACTAGCATCAGTTAAATTAAGGTGGTTAAGTAATTATTTGTAATAGCCTTGTGCGAATTAGATTATTTATGTTATAGATGTAAAACTAGAATTTGCGGAAAGCAAATAGGTTTTCAGATTTGCTACTGAATTCTTCTGTGTATTTGGTGCAGCTTTGTTTGCTATTTGCCTTGCTACATTGCAGTACATAATTTTCTTCCACATTCTGCATGATATTTTTCAGGTAAATTTTTTTAATGAATTTGTTTCTTCTTATTTGAGCTATAATTCCTCAAATGCGTAATTACTTTTTTTCAGATCCATTCCATCTTTCCACTGGCACTTCTGCTTGTTATTTATGCAATTACAGTATTGAAAGCACTGCTTAATTCTAAAAGGGATTATGACTTGCTTGATATAGGTTGGGAATTTACCTTGCACATTACACGGCATTTTAAATAGATAAAAATTTCCCTGGAAATTTCATTAATAATCTTAACTGATTTGAAATAGGTATGTGCATAAATAGGTTGTTATTATATATATACATATGTATATTGCAACAGGAAAAGATCAGTTGATCGAAATTCCATTGGGTGAAAGATGTGTTCGTGCACTTGCTGAACTCTCAATTGTGGCAATTCATTTCTTGCTTCATATGTTATTGGCAGTATTTAGTTCCCCTGAGAACATCATTTCAGAAGGTATACATCAGGCGGTCGGTTCTTGTGGTGAAATGGAGCAAATTTTTTCACCTTTTGGTTTGGTAGGATTTCAGTTTACATATCTTTTATCCATTTATAATCTTTTGTAATTAGTCAACTACAAGAAAAACTGGCTTTGCTGATTTTATTGTATCCCTGATGAATTTCATTCTGGGCGAAATCATAGCGTTTTTGTATGTATGTATGTTGAAGTTTTATGGTTTTCAGCCTTTATACCGCAGAAAATATTTTTGTATAGAAGAACAAAAACAGAAGCTATTCGATCTTCATTGTATTCCCGGCGGACAGTTGTCGGAAATAGTAAGCGGTGAACCATTAGAGTACTATGCAATTTGTGGCACGAATTTCGAGAATCGAGCAGGATATATTACTTTCATATGGTTCATCTTATTGGGCTTAATAACTTGCAAATGAAGAGTTTATGAGTACGAAATTGAGACGTTTTAGATTATTAATGAAATGTAAAAAATAATTATTTAACTAATGCAATAAAGAATATTAGATTGAATTTTTTTTCTACTTCATTGCTAAAACACTTTTGTGAAGTTTCAATTCTATATAATATTTTATTATAGGGTATATTGTGTCATGGTCCTTTTCATAATCTTTTATATCACACTTCTTTGTGTAGTTGAGGTACTATTTTATCTTTTCTTTTTCCACTCTAAGGATAGTTTTGAAATTTATTTGCAGTGTCGGTTTGCTTCACTCTAAGATTTCTTGTCATAAAAGCACTTACTACTGCCTTTGCAGATCAGTAAACCAAAAGCATGTTCTTGCACCAAAACTATGCAACACAGCGATGATAGGTACGGATTCAAATCATTGAAAAACTTCAGCTTATATGAAAAAAAGTTGAATGATAGATTTTCGCAGCGAGCATTGGATGACACTGAACTTCGGCATCGGTCAACTCCTGTCAGTAAAAAATCACGTCTACCCACGCCTAATCGTTTATTGGACTATCCTTCAAAATCGTCAGCATGAGCTGTTTGGACTTTCGCTCTAATATTATTGTTCTGTAGATCGAGTTTAATATTGTTGATTTTTCCGGTGTTTTATCAAGAATTTGAAAAACTGATGAACTTATTTTGTTGGAAAAGTGAAAAATTGAATTTTAGTTATGCATAGTTATCTATTATGATGTCTCCTTTTGTGTTCGTTTATACAAGCGCATTTTGTAAAAAATGATGCTTTCGAAATCATGTTTTAGCCTAATTTGGCCTGCTGATTTGTATATTAGAGCTTTTTTATGCTTCATTTAGTTAATTTAGTAACCAAATCGTTTGTTCATTTATTGGTTGTGCACCATTTCAAGGATATGCGTTGTAACTCTATTTCAACTCCTTCATATAAATATTGATTTAGGATTTTTCGACGATGTTGTGCAAAATATCCGAACTGATTTCAGTTGCACTTGATTTACGTCATAAATGACACTTATTTTTTGTTTGAAAAGCTAATAGCCATTATAATTAGATAAAGTTTAATTTAATTTAAGTTTTTGAATTGATTGAAGGATTTTTGTTACCTTTTTACTTGAGATGAACAATTTTGGCTGTTTTTTGTGCCATTCATAATTTCAATGATCATTCATATAAATAGTTAATGGTCACAATTATAATTTGAAATTTCAGTTGCAGTTTCCTTTTCAGTTATGTGCATAATTTTAGGTACCTTCGGGTAACATGTCGAACATCACTCGAGCAGAATTATGTTCTGGAAACGGGGCAACATTGGTAAGCACTTATATATATAGTACATGTTAAAGTATGGGGCATTAAAACATAGTACGTATTTAGATAAATGAATTGTAAAAAAGGTAAATGAAAGAAAAAAAAAAAAAAACAAAATTAGGTAGAAGTTTCACTTGTAAAAAACTGCCGAGTTAAGATAATTAAAAATTTCACTTACAGTACTTTCATTTTTTTCATGAAATGCTTTGTTCCACCACGTTCTCAAACATCTGTTTTTATTTCATTAAAATTAACAATAGTTCTTCACTATACATTTGTTAAGTTTGGCAGATATCGAGTTCGCCTCTTAAATACTTCCCAGTTGCCTGTAATTAGCAGTATATCATGGATGATGGGAAAGGAAATCGTGGTAATCGGTCGCCTTTTAGAATCCGATTGCGAAGTTTCTTTAGTAAGTTTTCTTATATACATTGAGGAATCTTTTGAAGTCGGACCGTAAAGTTTCATTAACAGGGCTTCACAGGATGTATATCATATATTTAATTGGATGGATGTAGGGATTATGGTGAATAGAAATGTCTGAAAAAAAGTTCTGACAAAGTATTATATATTTTGTCGAATTGTTTAAATTATTTCAATTCAAGGAGAAGCAGCTGTATTATTTTTTCTATAAAATTTTTCTGGGATAAGCGTTTTAATGTTTATTTGTTCAGGCTACAGATGAAGAAAAAGGAAATACCCTTGTAGATTCCAAAGATAAAGTGCAGGATTGTGAAGGGCAGTGTTCCGAAAATAGTTCTGAGCTTAGCACTTCACCTCTGAAATATGAATTTTTAACTTTATCGAAGTTGCAGGTTTTTTGTTTATTTATCTTTTGGTAAGGATTTAATTTGTAAATGCATTTGTGAGAGATCATCGTCCTTAATTTCACCGTTATACGTGAATTGTTGGAAGTGAAAACAGTTTTGTGTATAAATCATTAGATCATTAAACTTATGTAGTCTTTAAGTCACAGACATTGTTTCATGTGTTACTGGAGTATTCATGATTATAAGTGATACTTTGTATTGGTGTTTTTGATGGATTTTAGATAAAGGATGCACCGAAGATTTTGATCGACAAATATTGTCATTCTTCTACACTAAAACAGTTTGCTCTGTCTTCGCTGAAAGCTTCAGAAGCTCGATCTCTTGCTGGCATGTAGGCTGTGTTTAATTCAGAATAATTCATAATGGCTTGTTCATATTTTTGTTTTTGAGCATATTGAAGAATTTTAATTAGTAAGTATTTGAATTTAGGTTTATTACCAATGGTGTCCCATTTGATAGGGAAACGCTGCCGAATCCAGATATTTGGATTTCCTGTGATATTAGTGACTACCTTCATACATGTTGGTTTGGTATATGTAAGACAAACGATGGCATTGCGACTTACCATGCTAGAACATTGCGTAAGTTATTTTCTAGTTTATTCTTTGTATAAATTATGATGGTACATATAAAAATATTGCACTGAAATATAGATTAATTCAAGTGCACTTTGTACTGTTTTCTATCAGCTGCTAGTTTAATCACTGATCGCTTAAGGAAAATAGTGTAGGACAAACTTTTTCAGCACGAGATTACACAGACCCTATCAAATTTTTGGAAGATTACAAAGAACGTTTTCGTGATTCCTACAAGGCAAGTTTTGTCTTTATTTTCACTGGCGCTCTGCTAGGGTAATTTCTGTGTAATCAGTAATACAACCGTGATATTAAATATTGCTTGAGAGTAGTGATATGTTTCCCAATGACTTTGTTCTGTGCTGCTTAAATTTTTCAGAGATTTAGGTCTCTCCAAACATAGCTTATTGTGTGTATGATGTTGTTCCGAAAACAGTTACAACCAATCGAGACAACCAAAACAGATTGTCTGGACTTGTAGAGCTTCATGTATCATGGACATTTCTAAATATGAATCATTGTTCTGATGGAATACTTTCGAAACCTGTTCCGTCAGCTTCGGTCGTTGCTGTATGTTTCAATTTTGACAAAAAATTAATAATAGACAGCTTGATATTATATTACCGTTATTATTACTATTATTATTGTTATTATTATTATTATTATTATTAATTATTATTTATTATTATTACTACTATTAATTATTATTATGACTCCGGAACACTTTTAATAGGAAAATTTGTGAAATTTTTTAAATATTTACAAAATTATTAGATTCTGTTTTTCTTAAAGGATGATTTTATATTGGAAAATATTAAGTTCATTTACAGAAGATATCACCAGGTTGGCTTGATGTACGCTTGCCACACCTTGGTTTAGTTGTTGAGCTGGAACAGGTGCTTGCCTTAGGACGTGCATTGAGAACCGGCAAAGTGACTTGGTCAAATGTGGATTTCGAGCAAATACAGGAGGATGAAAAGCTCATAAAATCTGCGTTACAATCTCTGCTTAATCAAACTTTACCTTTTTCTAGAAGTATGTTAAAACATCTATAATTTGTACAAAACATAGACGAGAAGCTTATTAAATTTGGTTAGATAAGTAAAAGTTTATTATTGAAATTGGTTTCGAACTTTGCAAGCGAGTTAATTTCGGTCGAGTTATGATACTCTGAGCTATCTGAGAAAAGACTAAGTGTTCGAATTATAGACAAAGATTTGGAGGATATTCCACTGGATTTACCTCAAGATTTCACGGAAGAACTGTGGCTCATATTGCGATACTGTCATTCAAATCAAGATCTCATAAAAGCTTTAAAATATGTTTTTGATGCTTTGAAAGGAGGATATAAAAATACCTTGGTTAGTTTTCTTATCGAGACATTATATCTGCAAATTGTCCTGAACATGTGAAAAAAAAAATGAGGAGTTCGTGCTAATTTTAGGTACTTACAAATAATAGATGTACGATGGCACGTTTATTGCGCGATGCATGTAGCAGCGACTTGCTATTACCACGTTTGGAGGGCCTTACACCGATACAAATTTATTTGGAAATGGGTCTGGAGCGGTTGCGAAGAGCTTGTATCGATGAATTTTTAAATAGAGGTTACTCTTTGTATTTCTTATTCCATAAGCTTTTACGATATGAAATGCAGTCCTTAATTCCATTTCAATTCTTTCACAGAGTATTTTGAGTCTGCTGCCGAAATTGATGCTGTTTTTGATTGCTGCGCAGGGAAAGAACCACAGGATCAGGCCGATGCATTATTCTTGTTCTACAATAGTCTTTTGGTAGTAAATACATGTAAGCAATATCTTAGATTGGATCGCCATCATATAAATATCATTGCAAGGTAAATTACATATTTTAGTGGAATGGTTGTATCTAGTGCTGTGAAACCAAAGCTTTAATTTAGTAGCATAGTTGAGATCTAATCGCTTAGAATATTGAATTTGCATTTCAATAATTATTTAATATTTTTTCTGTTTTAATTATTCTTCCTCTGCGCAGGCAAGTCCTTGAACAGTACAGCAAACTGAACATATCTCCTACGGCTGATGACATAACCGAACAAATGATGGAAAAGATGACTTTTACATTAAATTCCAGATTGTCATTTACAGACATCTTCAAACCTGTACATGAAAAGTAAACTTTCACCCCAAAAATGTCACGAAACTTGCAGTACAACTTGTAGAACCAAAAAAAAAAAAAAAAATCGAAGTTCATTAATTTATGCCTCAGATTTTTTTTATTTGAGTAGGAAAATACATAGATCAAAATTTATTGCATATGAAAGCATAATTTGTAGTGCATAACTGAAACCACATAAAATCTTTTTTCAGTAGATTTCCCAAAATTTGGAAATCAGAAGTTACGGTTGAAACCACTAATAAAGAAGGTTGGTTAGCGCGCTGCATGATTTTGTGTTCACGTACTTCTTGGTTACCGTTTATCAAAAATCCTGGAACTAACGATGTTGCATTTGACAGACAGAATACTGATGGGGGAAATAAACTCGATAGTGCAAAGGTTTTTTTTTTTAATTGGAGTGGTCACAGTAATGATTGTCAAAATCGTTTATCTAACCAATTCAGCACATGTGCATGTTTTTGTGGGCATTATCTTCTTGAGAGTCGGTAGAACCATAATTTTGAATACTTTTCTCTATTCTTAGTGACACTCGAATTATATTGGTCCTTTTATGTTAACATTAAGCATTTCTTTCTCGCACATAGCGCACTTTTTTTCTGAAAATATTTATCATCCACCACATCTGTACAGAGTTTTTTTGTTAAGTATTGGTCGTGTAATAAATGTTCTGATCACACGTCTTTGTTAAGAAAGAACTGATTCTAGCATTGATAGTATAGTATAGTATAATGATGGAATCCTCGTTTTCAGTTTCTTTTCGATGTTACAGACTTTAAAATTATTAATATGATATTTAATATTCTCTAATTGCATGATGTTTGTTAATTGTACATTTATAACTTATCATCCGCTATGTGAATGTATTTGCTATCTTTGGGCATCTTTCTGATCTGAGTTTTATTGATGAATTCTGACCTTTATTTGTTTGAACAACGAAGTGCTAAATTTTTACATTTTTATATGATTTTCTGCTACTAATATTTCAGAAAATTAAGGACCAGACAGTGCTTCAAAATTTCATGTCAGAAAAAATTTTTTCTTCAAGCGATGAAGAAAAATTAAAACTGCATACAACTCTACGTCATTACGAGATCAGTGTCGTTACCGGCAGTTTCTCCACGCTATTGTCAAGATAATTAATATTATTTTAATCTATTATTGTTATTTAGTTAAAGTACAAGAGATTATTTCTTTCTAATAAGATGAAAAAATTCTTAAATGTAACTTGAGACTTCCATAAACAAAAATCAGGGAAGATATGACACGGTTAGCCAGTTTTAAAAAAGTTCAAGACATGATTTCATTATGGCGTATTGAATTGCTATCAGTGTTGTCTGAGTTATTTAATAGCCCTTACCGGTTAAGAATGGTAAAATGAAAATCTTAAAATTCCAAACTATTGTTGCAATTGGTAGTGAAGCAAATTGATATATGCATTATTTCATTTATATCTCACACTGTTATTATTAAAGTTATTCAATAAAAATTTAAGTCAGCTTTTCTTACTTGTTTGCGATCGTTGATACTCCACTGGTATTTTCATATTCTCTGTCTTGCTATTTAGATTTACATTTGGTTTTTTACTTCCTGTCATTTCTATACCCCAAGATTTGCAGACTTGTGTGAAACTGCTGTTCTTTCCAATTTAAATATGCCCTTGCAGAGATTCCAGTGATTGTATAATGATTGCCGCATAGCGCTTAAAATGTTGTATGTGTTTTAACGGCATGTAAATTCGAATTACAACTTGTCATTTTGACTTCAGGAGTTATGATGAAAGGTTGCGATTGGGAAGGGCTACATGAGTACGAAGCACAGTTTTTTGGTTTCCTACCAAAAGGATTTACGGATGTTGGTTAGAATTTAATAAGTTTTATCCTCTTGAGTGATTTAATTTTGGTCTCAACAGTCTAGGTTGTTCCAGTATGAGATATATGTGTGAGTGATGTAATGTTTGTTTTCGGAATGCAGTAATTATAACACAATTTACTGGAATTTTGGGTAATTTTATATCCGATAGTTTAAAGACTCTTAAACCAAACCGATTTCGAGAGCCTTATTCTCACTCTTTTTTTTTTTCAGTTTATAATTTAATTCTGGAAGAGTGGGCAGAAGTTGTTGAGGAAAAATTAATGCCTGAATTGCCACTTGATGGTGTGAGCGGTGAAGTGAAACTGCATTTGAAAATGGAGCTTGTCAATATGATTGGCAAAAACAATATTCTAAACTCGCTCATGAATAAACTGGAGGTTATATGAACATCTTACTGTAGATTAAGTAGAATTTGTAATTCAGGTTACCTCTTATTCAAATCATTAAAAGTTTAGTCAGTATGAGACGACTGTTGTACTGAAGTTATTAAATTGCTATTTTATACTTGATTTATTGATTTTAGAAAGCATAACTTTTCCCAAAAAACAATTTTACTTTTAACCAACACGCACTGCTTGAGCATGAGATTCCAGGCATATACGCTGGAATACGTTTTTCGCATACCTGACGAAGTAACACTTCCCGAAGATAGACCGAATTTAGAAGTGGATAAGGAATGGTCCGTAGAAGTTGCTAACATGCGTAGGCAAGAACTTGAATACAATATTATTAAAGTGCGTTTTTATGAATCAAGACATGGATGCTGTAGTTGTGAAATGGTAATTAAGTTCTAATCATGAGGATGAAACATGAGGGGAAGATGTGGAAAATGTTTAATTAGTAATCTTCCTTAATTATCAAAACATGGATGTTGTAGTTGTGAAATTTTTTTTCTTTTTTTTTTTTAGTTACGTTTAGCCAACGAATTGTTCGACAGAGAGATCACAAACAACCTGCAAGCGATTCAGTTGTGGAAAACTGTGCAAAAGATTAGCAGTGGTGGTAATTTCACGCCCAATGATTTTTCTAAATGGGTGGAATAATTACTCTAGAATTCCGACAGCTCACTAAATTTCATAACTGACAGCTTGTTACCTTTATCTATTGAAAAGTCATAATGTTGGATTGTATTCGTTATAAGTACAGTTGTGTGTGATCTCCTACAAAAAAAAGTAAAACTGAATTTCCCTATCAGTGACAAACTAGTTAACTATTTACATAATTAAGCAGAAACTCAGACATATTTGGAGATCACGCATTATACAACATTGAAATTGGAATACTTTTCGTCGCTTTAGATGTGATACGTTTTGTGAATTAGAAGATGGTTTAGCCTTATATTCAATAACTGGGAAGTCTGTAAATCATCTCTTAATTCGTGAGAGTTATCTCCCGTCGTTCATGACGTTAAAGCTTTCTTACAAAATGAAGTGTGGAATAAAATGAAATATTTCAGTTCTCTGGACTGTAGTGTATTTTGGTAACATTTGGCTGAATTTTATAACATTCCACAGGAAAGACACTATCAGCTTTCTTTGTTAAAAATATGGCAGAGACTATACAAAGTTTTCTCCATAACTTGCCAAAAGGATAAAACGATGAGCGCTAAAACGAATGCAAACCACTTTGAGCTTGTGTTTATGTGGTTGCTATAAGAAATCAATTTGGGGGAACCATCATCAAATATGTGGAAAAAGAAGTTTAAAGTCCGTTATGATTTGCAGCATAGTGCACTGAGGAGGATATAAAATGGCAGTAATTATAACACACACGCTACTAGTACCGTTTGCGCTCATCACGGAATTTAATATATTAAGTTAGCTTTTTTGCAAATAGCCAGATAGGTATTCTAGTTATTAATCAGAACGATGTTATCCTCAATAACTGAAATGCTGAAATCGAAAATAACTGGCCTTTATCTATGACTTCATTACTTGTAACATTATCTTGCATATACAAAGCTATAAAATGTACTTTAAAAAAAGATTAATTAAATAGTTTTTCATGACAACAAAGAAATTAACGACTCGAAATAAAGAATTATTGGGACGTCGTTTGATTCAATTTCTTTAACAAAAGTACTACTAAAAAAGATTTTATCCTTTTAGGATGGCAAGAACTAACACAATTATTGCATAATGAAAAAGGAAAAACAAAGCAAAAAATATACGTGAAAACAATGTAAGAATTTAGCAAAAGTGATGAACAAATAAAAAAGAGTTTTGACCATCATTCGAGAAAATCACGGAAGTTCTAAACGGGGTCAGAAGTTTTTCGCAATTATGTTAACACACTGAAGTTAACTAATATTTTTTATGCATAAAATAAATTTCGTGGCCGTTATGCTTAAGGCATGGTAATATTTGATTCAAATTCGATCAAAGAAATGATTCAATGGAACCAAAAAGGCAAAAGAACGTGTAAATTTGCTGATTTTTTCAAACTAATGCCGACACTCGACTCTCCATATGATTTCGCGCCAAATTCAAGCAATGAGAGATTCTTCGACTACAAATTTTAGTGAATATTATTGCAGTATTGATTTCTGAGATTTACACTGTGGAAGGTTGTCTCTCGAAGCATATTCCTGTGCTTTCATCGGTCTTAAATAAAGTAATTTTAATTTTGAAATGCTTTTCAAAAAATATAACTATTTCAAATTCTATCTCAAATATCGCATATACCATCACTGGACATATGGAACTAAAGGAAGGAAAAGTGAGTCTCAGGTGAATTTTGTAAACTAGTACTACTTCCTATCAATTTTGTTCCAGATAAAGAAAGAAACGAAAACACAGTTTTTTACGAGGAATATATCTTACAAGACATAACTTGAAAGACTCCACAAAAATAAATAAGAAAGTTTATTCCGATGATCTCCGAACCTGGAAAGGCTCCACGGAGAACGCATTATTGGAGAAAAATTCGGTTGGCAAGCAAGAATTTGTCGAAAGATCGATATAGTCCGGCACAGCTGCAGTAATTTCAGAAACATATTATCATAGCAGAAAGAATATAAATATGCAAACAAGAAATCTTATTAATCTCTCAGCATAAAAGAATAATACCTGGATCTACAACATCCAAATCAAGTTCTTTTTCTGCTTCAGCTATGATTTGCCCGGTTGGTGTAAGTACAAATGATTCGACAGAATTCAAGAATGAGCTTGAAATCGTCATATCCTCATCGATGTCACCAACGTCTTCTGTATAATCATCATTCAATCCAACAGCAATGCTTGATGAAGTCAACGAAATATTCTCTTGCGAAGATGCAACTGGAATATAGGACCCCAGCTTCGATTTACATTTTGCTAAAAATTTTTTGATGTGCGTAAATAATTTAAGTTTAAAATAATAAAATAAAATAACTTAAAATAATTTAAGTAAAACATTTAAGCAAAACATACACAAAGGAGAAGTTATTCCATCTGAACGTACTTCCAATTATTCATTTATTACTTTATTGCCTTTACCATTCTCTTTTTATTAGATTGTTATGTATAAACTTATGTTACCACGTTGAACAGAAACAAGTTAAAGCCATAATGATTCTATTAATTATCTTGCAAAAGGGTAAAATGTTTTAAAAATATAAATTTGATACGAGCAGTTATACATGCATTATGAAGTTCCTTCAATGTATTTGTTTCAACGGAATCAATTATTTCGAAAAAATTATGCTAGAATCCAAAAAACACACAACAGAACATGACCCTCTATTAAGAAGTGCAAATATGAAATACCTGCACTGGATGGCTTACGACTTCGTTTTCTTTTTTGTGTCTTCATAATATCAATATTATTAACTGCTGCATTTTCTAAAAATTCCACAATAAAACAATGTCCTCTTTCTCTCGCCACATCCAACGGCGTACGTCCAAGCTAGAAAATTCCATAATTCCAAATATAAAACAAGAAAAACTGTATATCCCAATATTCTTTCTTGCAAACATACTTGGTCACTTATTTCACTGTTTGCACCAAACGACAACAATAAATTAACCATATCCAAATAGCCTTCACGGGCAGCCAAATACAAGGGCGTTTCTCCCTAAAGTTTCAAAATAACAAGAATATTACCTTTCAAAAAACATGGTATATGGCACAATTTGATAGATATGAGCCTTGATTATATAAATCAGTTGACCAATGCAGTCAAATAGCAATGAAGAGAACGACTAAAGAACCAAAACAAAATAGTCAACCTTAGTATCTTCGGTATCCAGTTTAAGACCAAATGAGTATAATATTGGCAAAAGATTGACTCGTCTGTTAAGTGCAGCATAATGAAGAGCAGTACGTCCAAAAATATCAGTCAGAGTCGGATCATCTTTTTCGGACAATATGTCTCGAGTAAAAATACAACCATCTCGCTCTGTCTGCTTCTGAAAAACCGCTATAAATGATGCAGATTTTTTTGACATTATATCGTTTTCAAATTCTTTCACATACCAATGAAGAGTCGAATTGTCGGTAATTATTAGAAGTCATTAATCGTGATACACCATTCTGTCTGGAAATCAAAAATCAGATAGGTACTGCTAGAAAATACCTAGAAATAAAGAAAAAAACTTGAAAATAGCAGATCTTACACGTTTAATATAGTTCATGATATATCATTTGAATTAAAACATTAAACAAAAACAGCTGAATAACTCCACCGAAACCAAAAATGACATACGAAGGAATCAACTGTGGGGTGAAAGTATCATTTCGTACTTTTGTTTGTCGATAGTACTCGGTGTACATGAAATCAAGGATGCAGCGTGCACACAGATCAGAGACGTGAGCAAATTTGACAGTTAAAGTAAGTGGTGTTTGCCCCAAGACATTTACAGCCCGCAACTATAAAAATCTATATTTAATAAACTTTGAAAATACTAATGATAAAATAGCAAAAAACTGGAAATGTCTATTTCAGTAAGACCAAAGTGAAAACGAAATTCTCCACAATAACAGAATTCACGAAGGCATGAGAAAATGGTATCAACTAATAGTGATAATACTCGCCTTCAAACATCAAACTTTTACCAAGCATTACCAAGCTTCCGGAAGCTGCATCCATGTGAAGAAGACTACTCATATGTTTCCTTTTTTGATAATCTTGATCATAAAACACCTACATTGCATCGGTGAGTACTTAACAATAGACGAATAATCTGATCACTGTTAACAACCACAGCATGATGCAAAGCTGTATTCTTATCCGAATCAAAACAATTCACATCCGCTCCATGAAGCACCAAAAACGACACTGCTTCAATATCGTTACACTTTACTGCTTTTAATAAGTCTGGTCCCAAATGACAGTTCTCATTACCATTATCTATAAAACTAGCATAACAATTAATTTAACTGTTCAAACTTTTGCAACATGTCTTAAAATTCGATTCAATTTCTACATCAAAATTCAAAAAAGCTTGAATGTCATAAGAAAATCGAACAACAATTGTTGGAATACAGTACAAATTCAACCCGTATCCTTGTTTTTTATTTAATTTGTTTTTTCCTTCTTGTTATCTGAACTAGCATGCTATAAGTATTTTAGAAATAAGGCAAAATGAAGTAAACAGAAAGTGTTTCAGTATATAAAACTATATGAAAGATCAAGGGAACTCACCGCTGAAGTAAGCATCTAGACTAATAAGTATCTTCTGTTCATTGTTTTTTGCTGTTCGATAATGATTCTTGAACTGGAAAAGATGTATCTATTCATAACCAAATTGAAATTGTGCAAAATCTAAATTGCAACATTACAAACTAACATCTTTTGGCTGTTCTCGCCTGCACGAAGTTGAATTTGAGAAAAGCCTAGACAGTGGTGGTAATCCATCCCTTCGACAAATATCCTCATTGAGAAGGTAGTCTTCAACGGACGATACTGTTGACCAACTCGTGGCATTACTTTGCAAAGAAGCTAAAAAAAAGTTAGGTCATGTATTTTGATTATAAAAACCTAACCTTCTGAGCAATAAATTTATGTAAAATATGAAATGCAGTTTGTCAGCGAGCTATTAACAAAAATTCAGATCATAGTGTTTCCATAAGTATAGCAAAATCTATTATGGGGATAAATGACAAAATGAAATATAACTAGCCTGTAGTTCTAGTTTCAACCAATCGACTTCTACATTATTTACATTATATTATCAGTGTAAATAACACAAAATTATCATATTATCAACTTATATTAAATTATATTATCAATATTATTATATTACCAGCTTATATTAAAATAAATTTTATTATCTTACAATGAAAACAATACTTTACACAGCAGTTGAAAGCAAAAATTTGCAACCATTTTTCTGGTTAGGTAATAAGTAAATTTTAACCATTTTATAAAAATGATAAATAAATATCAATAAAAAATAAATAAAAAAACTAATAGGATGATAAATAAATACTCATACAATTGATATAGATGTTACAGTATGTTTTGGGATTTCACGCATTAGGAGGTGAAATTCGAAAAACAAGTTGTAAAAACTATTGCGTATCGTCTTACAGTAACCCTTATTCACTGATATATTAATCAACTAGTGTCACACGTTCGTACTGGTTGAAACTAGGTCAATAACAATCTGAACTTGAAAGAACAAAAAGCTAAACCTTTGACAAACAATTTTGATTATTATATTTTTTAATTTTGAAACAAGTGTTTTTAGTTATGAAAAAAAAGTAATGCAACAAGAAATATATAGTTTCCCACAATGTAAATTAAAAACAAAAAAAGTCAGATAAAATAAACTCCCTCATGTATTGATTTAAAAAAAAAAGAACTCGGACCATCATATTATTAAACTGTGTGCTCATTACTTAGTTTTACTTCCATAATTTATTAACAGTGTGTTCGTTATTTGTCTTTATTATTTGAGGTCCACACTGCATTCAGATGGACACCAATTTTTCCTATAAAGTGACACTTCTCATTGTGACCTGCCATTACTATCATATCACATTTGTTTCTTCCTTGTGTCAATTTTAGTTTTTGGTTTCTTTAACTGCTTTTCACCAATTTGTTTATAGGGACATAAACCAATAACTTGAGCATTACTATCATAATAGTGACTACTTATAATAATGTCTCATAGAATATTTCATTTAAAATGACTTTTCATAAATATGTTATTACTTTCGCAATGAGACCAATTTATTCAAATCCTCCTATGTTATTTGAAACAACTAAAAGTAGGCAGAGTCTGAGTTTAAAATAACTAGAACTAACACGGTACTTTCCAAACAGGAGCATGATTTTTCCCGATATTCTGTCTCTTCAACACACCGAAAAATCCATAAATTCCATAAAAACATGATAATATCATTCCAATGAAGACAAAACACGTGATGAAGATGGCAAAAATCGGAAGAGAGCGACTTCTATCACTTTCTACAAAAAGTCCTTCAACAGTGACGTCACCCAAGCTTATTCGATTCTTGGCCTAGAATTAAAATTTGGCAATATTGCTTCAAATTCAAAGTGAAAAAAACTCAGTGGAATGGAATTAGTGATGCAAATATGTGAAAAAACACAAAAGTTGAAAACTGGATATAAGAACAACCTCATCATACAAAGCGGTATGAAGATAAGCGACCGCACCAAAAATGTCAGTGAAACACGGTAAACCTTTTGTCGTGTTCAAATGGAGACGTTGTTCACAAAATGTCGAATCAATATCCACGTAAAGTAAAACACTTGTTGCATTCCTGAAAAATTTTCAAGTTAAGACCTGGCTTTATAAGTTTTCGCATTATTACTAAATTAGAAAGTATTAGTTGCTCGAACTTTGTGAAGATGAACGAATAACGACAACTTTTCATAATGCAGCACGGAACAGCTAGAAACACGAAACTGAAAATTGTTAATAACCTCAGGACATATTAAAAATATTCTCATAAAGCTTTCTAGTTGTTATCCCGCACGGTCGGGATAACAACTAGAAAGCTTTGGATAAGGAACATTAAATGCACGAACAAAATGCATATATATTCATTACAAATCTTTTTCAAATTAATGTACAGTGAATATAGCTGTGGAACATACAGGAAGAAAGTGTGAAGATCCGTTGAACGTTTTAAAAATTATTTAAATCAAAATAAATTAAACAAAAAATTTTATTTTACCTTGACATTTCCCACTCCCTTAAATTGATCTCTTTCCCAACTCCATTTTCAAATGACCACTCATAAATCCGAGTTTTATTGTTGCTATCTAAGGCCAAACGTACTGGATTATGTAGTTTCTGAAAGTTTGAACTACAATTTAATTTTTTGTTCAGTTATGTAGAAAATGAAATAGGAAATTCTTACTATTCTCTATATTAGATACTTTGTATTAATGTACCTATGGTTATTCATAACATATATTCAACAATTTTTACAATGCATAAATTTCACTCTTAGCAACTTATCTGAGCAAGTTTTGCAAGAAGTGAATATATTTTGTCGAGAATATTAGGTAGTGGCCCTTCGAAAACGATGCCAATGGTGCTACTATCCGTTAGATCACGAAGAAGCATATTTCTATCACAATCCATACCATCATATCCGCATTCCGCCACTGCACATTTTTCATCACATTTTCCATCCAAATAATGCAAAGCGCAGTAATCAGAAAGTCTAGATGAAATGACACATTTTTTATTTCTTTCAAAAAAAAAAAAAAATGTTGGTTGGGAAAAATCAAGACTTGATTAAATTTGATTCTGCGATACCATGCGACCAAATCTGTTTACGACAATACTGCTGCCGCTTACCTACATTCTTGCGTACTCACAACACAATCGAAACCATCAAAAAAACACTTCTCATTATTACATTCCTCATTACATGTTCCATCAGCAAAACGCAGTGCACAAAATTCCGGATGTTCTTCACATCCAGCTCGTAAATAGTCATCTCTTTCTGGCACATGTCTCTCACAAACTTCGCCGCTAAACCCTAGAAAAGGAAAAATACGGGACTACAAATTGCTTGAAAAAGAACAGATTATACCAAAGCTTCTGACTGCATGACGTTTTAGCGTGATGATCAATAAGAAAATAATTAATAGACATACCATCTGTACAAAAGCAAATACCATCAATACAAGTACCACCATTTCTGCACATGTTCCCAACCTTACACCTATAAACTACTGATATAAATTTTCAAAAAATAAAAACAGATTATGGAAAATTAAATGCTGATTTGATTTCAAAGTTACAAATTAACTTCATCTATAAAGGCAAATAAAACGGTGCATTTCAAAACGTACCGCAAGAAAAATGCAAACTAAGATAAATTAGACGTGGTGATGAGATGCTTGAAATAAATGGAAGCATAGAGCAGAAATTGACATAGCCAAATTATAAAAGTATCCTCATAGATTGGATTAAGTAAAAGAGGGGTTTGATAGCAGTGAAATCAAAATTTTTTGAAGACAATGAACAACAATAAAAGAATAAACCAACTTATCGAAAGTATATTCGCAATTATGACCGAAGTATCCCATAGGACAGTGACATATAGCAGATCCATTTATACTTACACAGGTACCTGCATTGCAGTAATGAGGAAATGCTTCGCAAACGTTAAGAACTTTTTCGCATTTTTCACCACTATAACCTGCTGAGCATGAACACTGAAATATTCCGTTTGTCCTCTCAAGAGAATAAATTATTTAACAATTCCTTTTAAACAACATTCGATTAATAACGAAGTGAGACTCTCCAACTCTTACTTCGTTACTAATGGCTCAAGGCACTCAATTTAAAGTTTAAATTTAAATATTGTACGAATTTATGTAAGGCCTTCTAAGAGCAAGAGAATAGGAAATCAAATATATTTACGTATTTCATGCTAGATTTAATAAACTGATTTAAGAAATATGGGAGATATATATAAGTCATCAGAGAGAGAGAGAGAAAGACAGAGAGATTTAAGGTATATTTAAATCAAATATATTTAAGAAATCAACTTTCACAATGTTTGATAGAGGAAAGACAGGAAAAAAAACAAGGAAGGTAAATAAATTTCGAATATGTTTCCTATGGTATCAAATCATCGATGTAAATAAAACTGACCGCGAGAAAAAAGTAAGTCACAAATACTTAAAAAGCCAATTGGGATATGAAGTATAGTTAACATGAGCATGAAAAAAAAACATCTTGGATGAGAGAATAACAAAAAAGTGCAGCATGACGAATGCAAGTCCCATACAATGACATATAGAAAAGTTTCACAGTTAATACGATTTATAAAATAAGGTGCAGTGATTTTCTGAATTAATGAATGAATTTACCTCTTATTAAATTACTTCATTAACTTAATTGAAAATAATTAGGATAAATGCAAAGGAAAAAGCTAACTAAAGTTGAATGAGCTTTATTCGTTACTTGTTTCACACACACTCCACCATTTAAGCAAGGCTCAGCCGGGTCGAAACAGCTCGGCAATGCTAGCAAACAGTTTAGCAAAGCTAATGCAACATTTATTAGCACCATAGCGACACAGCACTGAAATAATATTCTCAAATATTACTGACCGCTGACAAACTACTTCTTTTCGTGAATATGGTCTTACACTATCGTTGTTACATATTCTCATAACTTATTTTTCTTTCAAAATAAAAACCACTGACTATATTTAATATTGTGCACTTTCCACAACGAACTTGGCTGTATACTTGTTTAGCTATTAGCAAGGTGTAAACAAAGTGAAATGTAACACCACTATCATTTTGCTTCTGTTACATTTTATTATTTACCAAATGCCTTTTCAACTTGAACCCCTCCTCAACTATAAAACCAAACACTGTTTCTGCAACCTGCGGTTTCTTCTATCTCCAACCATCGTAGTTCGCTAAGTACAGTAAGACCCCAACACCACTGACGGAATTTAACCTGGCTCATCACCCAAACAGAGGCATACTGTATGCGCTGCTACTACTTTCTATCTCTCCTGCCACTAAACAACTAGTTGGAAGAAAACAGCCAAAGGCAATTGCTACCGGACTTCTCGCACTTGCTAATGCCTCCTAGCATTGAAAGACCCCACGTAAAACACGGCTCCCAGAATGAAAAAAATCCGTTCAGGCTGATTAATTAATGTTGAAATGCCTTTTAGAACTGCACTGCGGGGTCCCATGTCAGTCTGTTCAAGCATGCTCATACAATAAACAAAGGAGTTATTTTATTTATTATTATTATTACTACTAAATTATTAAATTAACAATAAGATGTTAATTTACAATTTGCATAGTACATTATACTATCATAGTTGGATTCTCTCCCAGAACGATCAGTTTCTTGATATTATATAAACCAAACATTTCTTCCTTCTGTTCTTTAGAGTTTCATTTACAGTGTCGATGCCTGATTTAATTCTGGGAACTTTGTGATCGCAAAGATGAAGTTATTTAAGTTACTTCTGAGCCATCGCTGTCTAGAATTGTTTGAAGGAGTTACCTATCTCTAGAATCATATTAATGAATTCTCAATGAATGCTTTTCATTCCCTTTATATTTCATTTCATGTCATTTTCTCTTATATATATAAATATTTCACTCACATAAAGTCATATTTTCTCTCATTCTTATCTTTCTATTTTGTCTTCTATTGAATGGCTATTGTGTCATTGCACTGCTAAAATCTCCCGACAAATAACATTCTCATAGCAGTATTGTGTTTTCCGCAATGCGTATTGGGGCCATATTATCCCTCCCGCTCGGATGAACAATAACTCGAAACATCTGATCGAAAAATATGCTGTGCAGTAAGGTTTAAATTTGTTCTTAAAGTTTAATGTTAAAATTTCGGTGATGGGATGAGATTGTTGTGAACCGGAAGTACACGGATAATAATACAAGAAGATAAGCGTATTCTCCGGGATAAAACTGTAGAAAAAATGTTTTACGATCAACTATTTATTATTTTGTGATCCACTATTTATTTTGAGGAATCTACTGGCTTACATATTTCATCCAGCGCGTCGCATAATATGAGATCCCGGTATACTGCACATCGTACACCTGTTGAGTGCTCACTGTATTCTTCCCTGTAAAAATTATTCCTATTCTGTTCAATTTTATCGTATCTTTAAGAATTTATAAAATATTTTTACGTTCCTCATAAATAATTGTTATATTTTAATTAAGTGATTCCTTAGTTAGCATGTCCTGCTTTAATTTTGCAGCAAAACTTTGAGGATTAGAGGTGCAATAACTGTATATATGAATTCCGTTGTAAGACTTGTACTGGTGGATAATACTATTAGCCAGGTCATATTGAAATACAAGATAGAGCAAGATAATTACGCTTTCTTGATATAAAGGATATTTAATTGTCACAGGAAAACGGAGTTACTTTGCAGAATAAGTAACACAGAGAAAGTGGTAGTAGTCTTGAGTTGAATTTCCTGGATGGAATACGTTTCTCTCTCTCTTACCATGCAGGTTTCTTAACCGATCTCCAAATTATGCTTACAAAATGAATGCATTTTTCTTTCTAATTCATACAAATGAGGAAAAATTCCCAACAATTTTAGCACAGTAGAATTTACATATACAAGCATTTCTTACTAAAACTGTTTGTTATGAAGGTCAGTGATCACAGATCGCGCTGCAATTTTCAATTCTTCCAATTCCCAATATTTCGATAATGTTTGTATTCGTACTAGATCGTCTAAGTCTATTTATTTCCATTCTGCAACTTCTTTTTTTTCTTCGATATTATTTTATACGAATCATTTTGTGCTAATTGTTATCAAAATCATGATTTGAGAAGTCTGTAGAATTTTTGAAAGCAGATTACTCATTATGTTGTAAATTAATGAATTACTTTAATAACAGTACAACCAATTCAACGAGCATGCTTTTTAAATAATCTCATGTACTACATTACGACCTTCACCAACTTTATATTTATTCTTAATTAAGAAATTACGATTAAATATGAAACTAATTCGCTTTCTTCCTCTCACTTCTTCAGCTGAATCTTATCCTCTGTTCATAACTAATGTAGAAAACAACTGACTAAGTGTGGTTAGATGCTTTACGGAATAATTTTATCCAGTTCTCCAAAAGTCAGAATTGACAACGTTGCTTTTGTCAATAATTAATAAAAGTTATAAAATGTAGAAAAAAAAATTAGTTTACATCGAAAATGGCAGCTTCAAGTTCAATTGCAATGGCTTCTAAAATCCTTCTGTAATTCCTGATAACATTGATTTTGCACTTCTAAAGAAAGGGCATGGATCACCTTAAAAACATTGATACCAAGAAATAATATTTGCAAAAGAATTCGATAAATTAGTAATTATCTGATTCATATAGTTTATAATTAACAATATATGTTGTTAAGCAGTTAACTTACCTTTCCAATTAACTTTCATGATTTTTCATTGATTTAAGTGACTTGTCATCTAATTCTGACTGGCATAGCCTATTAACATCATGGGATAATTTAATGTTGCATAATTAACAGCTGGATTTTCATTAAGTGATGAAAATATTTGGTACTCATATAAAGCATGCATTTTGAATACATTATAGAATATGTATTTATACCAAATACTACGAAATCTTTGCAAATAATAGTTAGACTTAATTAATTGCTGCCAAAATATTCATTCAATGTATTTCAACAACCCGGAGAAACATTTAAGCACTATACTAATATTAGGAACGCTGAAACCGATTAAACTATTTCCGTATCCCGCTGACATAATAGTATTGTGCAGTGATTCCAAAAATGGATCAATACCACGCATGATAAAGTGTTTTCGAAATCCGTTTCCTGCATTTCATTCAGTATTGCTGCAAAAATTAGATATGCTCAGTTAATAAGGCTTCCATCATATGTTTTCCAGAACTTTACTTCCATTAAGCATTATTATTGACCATTTAATTCTTAGTTCATTTTTCAATCTCGAACAGGATTCATCTAATTTGAAACGAAAATTTTGAAATTGATATTCGTTTTTTACTCCAAGATGAGATGACAAATAATGCTTGGGTGAACTGGGGAAGAGAATGAGAAGACTTCATTTAAGAGATCCTGTCTAAGATCATTAATAAAAGTATTGATGGATGAAATCAATTTATAGTAAACAACAGAAGACATCCTTGAACATCCAAGAAACAAGTCTTGTTTATCGAGCAAACATTACAGTAGGAGTGCTGTAAATTTTTCTTCGTTTACTCGATTGTACTCTATGTATAAACTAAAGTATTAAATCTAAATGAATTAAAAATTTCAAATCATACTCTGTCGTGAATTTGAAATCACTCTCTGATCAGAGTAGACGAATTAGGTTAGTTAAGTTCACTTGACTTACGTGAAGTTTGTAGGACTTAAACTGAAGCTTTTGCTTCTTATCTGCAAGCGAGATCGACCGACAAGTATATAGTGGAGTAATTGGAACAGCGAAGGAGTAAGTGGTACTGTTGAGTGAGTAGGAGGAAGAGAAGACTGCACCGATCGTTTCTTTGTTGTTATCAGATTAAAGAAGGCTTTTAAGGATGTAGAAAGTGGGCTGGGTTGGCTTAGCAGCAGATTAACATTTACAGTGAAGACAGATGTACATTTACTATTTGAGGTTTAGATAAAGGATTCATTGTTTCAAAAAAATGGGATATAACAAAGGAATAACGAATTAGTTTGTAGTAATGAATTATTAGTATTATTCTAAACACTTACTGTGTAATAAATATTTTTTCCGGTTTTCCGACATTCTTTGCAGCTACTGTATTATGACTATCTTTTGAAGCACCGAAGCATAATCCAGAAATTTGTTTACGCAGTTCACTTCGACAATTCACTAATAATTTTGGATTTTCTCGACGAAAATCCGATACACTGATTTTAAGTTTACTGGAAATATTTGCATTTGTAAGATGTAACTTGAGAGAGAACAAAACATTTCAAATTGCGTGAAATTTCATTATATGATTCAGTTCATAATTACTGAATTGACATTGAGAATTTACAACATCCTGGAACGACGATTGCCCATGTTTTATCCTTTGTTTCTTTGAAAAGAAAAAAGTTTCTATTCTAAATTAATATTAAAATGAATAATTTTCGAGTCTGAGGAAGTTGTGACTGCATCAATATTTTTTCGGAAACCTTCAGAAGTCTTTAACATTATCTAAAAGTAGAAAGTTGGTGAATATTAGCATGATAAGCAACCATCATTTGTAAATGAAGAGAAAATTAGAACCTTGAGACTTACAATTCTATTGAGCGTGGTCCATGGGTAACAATAAATATACACGGCATTTTTCTTGACGTAACATCTGTGCTGAAATGTTTATTCTTGCATCAAATATGAAACGAGATGATAGCACTTCATTTGGCTTTTTTCTTGGAATTGATTGAAGAGCCGTATTTCACTTGAATGAGAGTCCGATTCGTATTTTAAAAGTACTAGAAATGATTGACCAACAATTCTTTGATTAGTTTGTATTGATTATTTTATGCAGCGTTTTGCATAATTATTAAAGATTTGAATGTAGTTAAAATTTGCATTAACATTTTATTATTAAAAATTAACGCAATGCAATTAGGGTAATAATCGTCTTTTTCTCCTTGTCTTGTCACTTTTGCTCAAGTGGTAGCTTCTGGCGATAGCTGCAGATAGACTAAAATTTTTAAAAACAGAAATCAAGCATATTCTATATTTAATGTGGAGAAAACATTACAGTAGTTACATCAATGAAAATTCGTCAAGATTTTTGTTAAATTTGTAATAGCATGACAAATGTTATGGTTAAGGAAGTCGCTTTGAAAGATTTCCTTTTCACACTTAAGTTTCAAAATTTTTCATCTTTTTAGTATAAAAAAAATGAAAGATTTTCAATTTAAGAATTCATCTATTACTCCTGTTAAAATGAAAACAAAGTTTTTTCAAAATAATTTGGTATTACCTTTGCATCTTACTAATATTTTGTTAGTTTAAAGAGAGTCAAAAGTCTACCACTCACAAAATGTTAGCTTTAAGTTTGAACGAAACAAATGCAAAGGAATGAAAGGTGAGAGAGATTAACCATATTATTTTACAGTAAATTTAAGAAGCGAATAATTCATGACACGGACGAATTATGGTTGTGTTATCAATGACAAAAGTTATAGTAGGAGTTGCTTTACAGTGTTTTCTTCTTTACTTTGTTAAACGGCTGTGAGGCCATTTACTTTTTCGGAATATTCTTTGCCATATTTTGCTGGAAAAAGACAATTTTGATTCATGTAGAAAGTTACTGAAAAACAAAATATGTTTTAAAAAAAGTTTGCTTCAGATGCTAGGTAAATTTGGACTTCTGGGAATTCATATAAATATAAGCAATCCAGTTGTTTGGATTGTTTGATGAATTTAGGAAGTTGGAATATAAGAATGAACAAGGAAGAGTTATTCCACAAGCTTGCTATTTGTTTAAAGGCATTTTCTATTTTGATAATCTGAGATAGGCAACCGCTGACATAATTGGACTGCAGGCATTGAATTTCTACCGGCGGAATGCTCGAAATATGATTTCGGTCTGGTTGATTTGTCAAACACAAACAGTGCCAAATACACAGCATTAAATGCAAACTGGCTGAAATTAATAATACATTTATATATTACAGAGTTTCATGGTTCTTAATTAATTTAAAGATTCCACCTAAACTTAAGCAATTTATTTGTTGTGTTTTAGATATACATTCAAAACAGATTGCATATCTTTGATAGAGAAAATGATTGGCGGTGGAATCAGTGGGAAAAAATGTGAAAGTGAATATGTGGAAATTAAAAATAGGAACATTATTGCGGAATCGGCTTTTAAAGCAAGATTTTATATTTCTTGTTTATAGGACTGTTATTTTTCTTCTTTTCCAAGGTTTCATGTAAAAAACTAAAGAGTTAGCAATCCCGTTATGGAATTGGGAGGAATCATTGCGCAGATATTATTTCCTGAAAATGCATGAATCTGAAGAGTGGAACAGAAATGACATGCCAGAGACAATCTACTTCTATCAGAAGGGCGGAACAATTTGCAAATTGGCAGCAAGAACTATTCAGTAGATGTTTTACTTTATGTCGATTTTTTATTAAATTTTTGTATTTCAAAATACTGATACTAAATTCATGAATTTAATCCTTTTCAGGAAAACTAAGAATAACTGCTAGTTAATAATTGGACAGTTCCTCAATCTTTAGAGCGGAAAACGTCCTGAGGTAGTTATGAATTAATTTATATAGAAATTTCATGCAGCACCTGAAATAGAGCGCTTGTGCAAGCATTCGTGCTGAAAAGTGAAGCGCTTCTTCATGAACATCGGGCATTCCGAACAATATCACCAGTCGATACATGTTCTCCGGTGTATTCAATATTATGCAAATCAGTGCAATTGCTAACCATCTCCACAATGTGCGGCTATGCTTATGCTGCAAGTTTGCAAAATTACCGGATTATTTATTCTCACCCCTGTTTCTTTTTGAAAATTCAATATTGCTAATTTGTTCGATTGATTAATGCATGCTCATTACTTTCATATGATTTAGCCGATTATTTTTCTATGGAAAACACCTGGTAATACATGCTTTCCCGTAATGGAAGCAAAATAACTACTTGACTTTGCTAACCCACTGAATTCTACCTTCTTAATTCCTTTTCTTAATAATTGAGGACAATATTATTTCATCATTTTTTAAAATAAATAAACATAGTTAAATTCACTCGAATGAGTGTCTGGTTGCTTCTGGAATATACGCAAGCAATAATTGGGGGCTCAAAAGTTTGCTCAGATCTTTTTTGTGCTGAAAATATTTGCAGTAAGCCAGTATCGCACGATCCCATCCTGCAATTATTGGATATGTGGACTTAGTGAAAAAATCAAATACTAATTTTGTTAGCCTTTACTTTGCCAAGAATTACAATTTCATTGCTTTAATTAAAATCTCAGGAAATACAGTTATAAATTTTTAAAGTCTAACTTTAGAGGATTTAGTTGCAGAAGGATAGCGCTTGCAGTCTAAACTAATGAAGATTTGAATTTAGTTTCTATTTTTTGACTTTTCAATTTCAAGATAAAACAAAATTAGTTATTTAAACTCAATATCAGTTTTGGATTTAGGATAATCTATTTGAAACACATTGTATGATTATTTGTTGTTTTAAGCGTTAATAAAAACAACTCACGTGCTCTTGATGAGTACAGAGATATCCATAACAAAAATAAGCAAGCAAGGGACACAAAATGACCAAGCACATTCAACGATATGAAACAGCCGATTCCAAGTAAGTGATCGAAAGAGCGCTTGTTGAATGCAACCGAACTGAGTGGAATGAACTGCCAATAGAAGCCAGGCATTCAGCGCCAATGATACTATCTTCAACATATTCATTTATTATAGTAGCATTCAACTCTACTGTTTTCTGATATGGTAAAAAAATGGATCAACATTAATTATTCCTCCACTCTTTCGTGTATCGATCATTTCATGAAATTACTCTGAAGAAATAGTAGAGAAGATGAGAAGAACGATGGGAAGGGCCTTTGATCATCGTTTCCATCTCAACAAAACTATGTAAATAATAAAACTGACTATAATGAATGATAAAGCTCGATATGGCATTTGCCACAGTTGAAGATGGAAGAGCGGATGCCTTATAGCGAGGTAACGAAGTGTTGAAAGCAAAAGCCATGACCAAACAGAAATACCCGTTACTGTATGCGTTAAAAATAATACCGCCTGCAATCCATATTTATTGAAAAATTCTTAAATAAACAAAGACAGAGTAAAACTGCTAGAATGAAGAAGAAACACTTTTCATCTGATAGCAAATAATTGACAAAAGTCAGAGAGCAATTAAGGCTTCAATGAATATCATTTATTCAACTTTACTAATACTTTATTATCTCAAACCATATAATTACATTATATCTTTAATCTACCAGCCATAATGTTTGCATGATCTGCTTGTTTACTTAAACATAGAACTATCTAACATTGATCGACTGTAGTAATGGATCAGTGCTATATGTTATAGGGTTCGAGTACAAATTTTATGCACAAATAAAAAATTTGTAGGAGGATGACCTGGAACGAATTAGATTAATTAACAACGAAGCTGAAAAATGAGACGTTTAGTAAGATTTTGATTAATTTTCAATTTTTACTTCAAATATTAAATTTTTTACTAAGATTGGAAAAAACATTTCATCCCGCACAGATTAGAGAGATCCTTCTCCTTTTATCGGGATAACATTCGATGACATGTATAATCCCTTCATACCAACAATGTAACATATCCATCCTAACTTTCCCTTATTTTAAATTCATTTTAACGTCCATGACTTAACCTATAAAATGGGAAAATGAATTTATTCTGTTTGCTTTGCATCTTTCTCTAACCATCAGAACCACTTATGCCTCACATACTTCTACTTTACACTAACTTTTTCAAATAAAGATTTTCACTTTTTGCCAATTCTTTACCATCTACAGTAATCTGAAAAACAGGACAATTTTGCTGAGTCTTCGATTTCCAGCCCAACTTTCTCCCATTCACTTCGCCAATTTATTCGGACTATTTTTTTCTGAGCTTTTTCGAATCAGAACTACATTTTCTTTGAATCGTAATGTTTTCATTATTATGAATCACTATTCCTTATTTTTGGCTTTTCTAAATGTCATTGACAGCTTAGAGCAGAGCAAAAAATTAAAGATAATCAGCCAAGCTTGTGTTGTTCTATTCCTCAACTTTCTTTACTACCGCTTTGTTATAGTGAAGTCTGGCACATAAAATATAATTTAATGCTATCTTTGTATTCCAAAAAAAGTTTCATTGAGCTATGATCCTCTTCGAACACATCTTACCCTGTAGAACCAGTTCATTTGTAATACTAGCCCGATTGCCAACCAGCATTCCCACAAGAATGGACTGATTGACGATCATTATTTATTTTGCACAAAAACTTATCTATAACTTTTCTATTTGCCTGAAGTTCAATTTTTTTCACATATGATAAGTCAGTAGGTAATTGCATTAAGTCTTGAGCAAGCGCTCAATAATTTCATCAATTTCCATTTTAAATTCTATTCGATATTTGTCTGAACAAGTTGTTGTCGATGTAAAGTATTTCTTTCATTTTAATTAATTCGTCCCAGACCTTTTCTTTTGTTGATTTCTTTTCCTCTCTGTTTCTTCCAACTTTTATCTCAAAATCAAAATCTTTTATCTCAAAATATTCGATCGAAATCACCGCAGAAATGTTTTAACGCTGCAACTAATCGAGAT